TTTGTAGATCCTGCTTCCGAGCGGATCTACAACGAGGTTGCTGCCCGAGTTGACGAGCGCCAGACCCAGTTGACTCAGCAGACTGGGGCTCCGGTCGTATTATCCACTCTTGAAGTGGATAAGATTTACGAGGAGGTAAATAATTTTAATATATTAATTTTTTTATTTCTTTAATTTTATTGCTTCGATTATTAATATTGTAATTTACAGGTCGTTCCGAGGAAAAAGGGCCGTATTATCGGGATTGGCTCGGTAAACGATGTCCCCGCAGCGACATCGGCTTATGTTCACCAACAAGCCGATGACAATGCGCACCTACGGACGGAGTTGCAGACGACGCAGACAGAGTTGCAGGCGACGCAGTCTCAGGTGCGTACGCTCACGGCCGTCCTCGACGTTNTTAGTTTTTCATTGTATATTATGAATTTTAAAACTTATTATTGTATATTATTAGTTATTTATAAATATTTTTTTATTTATTTTTAAAATTTTTTTAAATATATATAATTTTAATTTATAATTGTTTTTTTTTAATAGGAAAAAATAGTTTCGAAGTAAAATCCTCGTAAAGGTTTCGAGGTAAACTCCTCGTAAACTTTTCTACCAAACTCGTCGTAAAGAGGCTACTACGAGTTTACGAGGAAATACTTTACTACGCCCTTACGAGGAAAGTCTACGTGGAGCTTACGAGGACACTGTTTCCACGGCTTTACGAGGAAATCTTTCCTCGTAAAGAAGCTAGGCCTTTACGAGGAAAATAGCCTTTACGATGAACGTCTTTCGACGAAACACGTTTCCTCGTTATTTCCTAGTAAAGGGCCCTTTACTAGGAAATAACGAGGAAAACCCGTCCTAGTAAAGGACGTGTTTTCTTGTAGTGATTTTAGATAACTATCTTTATTGTTTTAAGGTTTTCATATATATATATATATATATATATATGTTTCTTATACCTCTGTCTAAAGTTATATTCCGTTGATTTATTAATAATAAAAGGAGTTTTTTTTTAAAATGGGTTTCTATAAACTATTGTGAAGAGTATTGACAACCCTAGTTTCTAGATATTCTTAATATCAACGGATCACTAATTCTATTCTATAAATCTTCCGCTACATCAGAAGCTATGAAGAAGCGTAAAGAAGACGATAGATAGAGTAAACAAAGTGTTTAAAGGTCAAGAAAGGCTCTCAACGAGTGGAATCCAAGATTCACCCATCTCTCTATTTCCAAGTACGATTGTGTTGGAATCGAACCCTAGAGGAGGCGATCAAATTATTCCCAAGACAAGACAAACCACTTATGTTACTTTTTCAAACTACTGTACTTGCAATTTTTAATTTTGGTCTGAAAATTGGCTACTCGTGTTTAAATATGCTCATAGCTAGGCCTTCTATAGGGCCCATTACTAAGCCCAATATATGCCGACAAAATATTATTTAACGCAATCTTTCTCGATTCTATCCTTAAATAGTTACTTGTAGATTATGTTAGTCAGTGATTAGTCCTAAAGTTTCCCAACAAAACAAATCATTATCTAGAAAACATTACTACTTAACTTGTAATAAGATCTTTTGTTTCCTTTATATCATCACACAACAGAGAGACCAAAAAGGTTGGTTAGTCATACCAATTCCATGGCCTCTCTTCCTCCACTCATCTTCTTCTTCTCCACCGTCTTCTTCGCCCTCCACTCTATCTCAGCGACCAGATCTCGTTTCAAACCACCCCATTTCTCACCTCTCCTCTTCTCCTCTCCATCTCAAAACGTCACATCACAACCACCTACTCGCTACTTCGAGATCAAAAAGCCTCCCCTCCTCCCCACTTCTCCTCCACCGTGCTCACACCACATCCTCCACCATGAGTTCGGTTTCACCTACGGAAAACCACCGGTTCTCGCAAACTACACACTCCCCTCTCACTGCCCTTCTCAAGAATTCTCCAAGATCGTCCTCGAATTCAAATCAACCTGCAAAGGAAGACAGTTCGATCGTATCTTCGGCGTTTGGCTCGACGGCGTCGAGCTTCTCCGTAGCTGCACCGCCGAGCCTAGATCAAACGGTATCGTTTGGTCTGTCCACAAAGATGTGACTAGGTATCACTCTATACTCGTCAAGAACAAGACTCAGACTCTTTCTGTTTACCTCGGTAACCTAATAGATAAAACATACACTGGCGTCTACCACGTGGACGTGATCTTCCATTACTACCCTTCTCTCCAAAGCAGAGATTCTTCTACTGGTTACAGCTCTCTTCAAGCTGATACCATCCTCCCTGTTTCGAGAAACCTTCCTTTAGACGAAGGACTATGGTTTGAAATCACGGGTTCGAATGATTCTAAGTATAAGGAAATAGTGATCCCTAGGAATGTGTATAGAGCTGTTCTTGAGGTTTACGTTTCTTTCCATGAGAGAGATGAGTTTTGGTATGGTAATCTTTACAATGACTTTATTTCCGCTAACAATATCAGTTCTGCTTCTGGTAATGGACCTTTTAGAGAAGTTGTGGTCACTCTTGACGGCGAAGTTGCTGGTGCGGTTTGGCCTTTTCCCGTTGTGTTCACCGGTGGGATCAATCCTTTACTTTGGAGACCGGTGACAGCTATTGGCTCTTTTGATTTGCCGAGTTATGATATCGAGATGACGCCGTTCTTGGGGAGTTTGTTAGATGGGGAGGCTCATGAGTTGAGGTTTAGTGTGACTAATGCTTTGAATGTTTGGTACGTTGATGCGAATTTTCATCTTTGGTTGGATGAGGAGAAGGAGGTCGTTGAAGGGAAGGTGTCGGAGATTGGAAAAAGCTCTCTTGAGATTAGGTCTGTCTCTGACTTTAAGGGTTTGAATGGTAACTTCACAACCAAGGCGAAAAGATCGGTACATTCGATAGGGTTGGTGAAGTCCTCTCATGGTGACATTATAACCAATGCTAGTCAGGAGTTTACATATGGAAACACAATGGTTTTAGGTAAAGATGGGAACTTACAGATCATAGATCAGTTGATCCAAGGTGATGACCGTGTCCACGCCAAGAAAGAGTCCAAAGAAATCTATGCAGCGAGATCCATCAGGAGTTTTCCTTTTAACCTATACTCTGACTCTTTGGAGGGACAGAATCATACGTCTAAGGAGGTTGCGAATGTAACGATGGGATTCAATGAGGAGAGATCTTGGAGTGACGATGGATTGATGAGAATATTCAAGAGCAAGGTGGAGAATAAGCAAGAAGCGCAAGGGGTTATGGTTGTTAAGAATAACTTAGTGGTCAGTGGATATGGGGGCACACAACAAGTGTATAACTATGTTGGTAGTGACCAGTGTTACTTCAGGAACATTAGTAGCTTCAACTACACCATTCTATATGATAAGGTTGAAACTGTTTGCAAGAAGAAAACACTGAAGCTGTCGCCAGGGTTCGAGCATCTGATTACATAACACTTGTTGGCTTGATATATGACAAGAGACAGAGGCCTTTGCTCTTGCTTTCAGTGACAATGAAGAAGGCAACATCACAAATAAGTTTTCAAGCAATTTCATAATAAGTAAGCTTTCTTTACTTCTTACGGTATTTGGGCTATATTTGACTTGTGGCATCTTTAGCCCATTATTACACATTGTAGAATGCCAGTAGCACAAGGACCCGACTTTATAAATTTTGGGATTTTGGAATTTTTATCTAAGCGTTTTACCATATAAAATATATTAAATTGGGTGTCGCACATTTTTAAAATAACTTTATATATCAAATTAACTTTTTTTATTCAAACTTTATTATTTATTTACCATCACAACTTTTTTTTGGGGTCAATTTACCATCACAACTTAAATTCGCATAATTTTTGTTATTAATAGAATTAGGTAAAGAATCAATGCGAAGTCGCACAGAGACTCATTTAAAAAAGAACGCTACATGTGTATAATGTAGATTACAAATATCAATATTTATTAATAGATGCTAGTAAAATTTTATATTAGTTTTCAAATTTCAGATTATAATTCAATTTAATATACCAATACTAATTTAAATATATATATATGTTATTATTATTATTTTTTAAATTATCTGAAATTATAAATACAATATAATATATTTAAAACTAATTAAAAGAATCTAACACATTTAAACCTAATCATTTACTAAATTAATAAGGTAAATTATAATGATAAGTTTGACATTTATAATTTATTTGAAGCCATGTAAAAATATATGTATAGTGAAAATATGATTACATGACAACGTTAAAAAATCTTTTCTACTAACATGTTTTTTGGGTAAATTATACATGCATTTTTTTCTTCATTATTTGTATCTCTTATAAAATTATATTTTTCCTATATCAGTGCTAGATAAAACTATACAGCTATTGACAGCTCAAGAATCAAAACTCTTTGATATTCATCATATTTCAGTGATGGGCGCAGCTATTCATAAATACAAAAATTTCATATTTTTCTTATTTATATTGAAATATATGGGTCCCCAACAAAAAGATCAAGTTTTTTTTCTGATAAATATTATTTGTAATTAAGTTTAACTTCTTTAGTGTTGTTTAAAATATCTAACCACATTAAAGTCTCCTAAATTTATTTTCATGGTACATGAGTATCAGTTATAATTTTCAAAGAGTAATTTAATAAAATTTTATATACCACGTAAACAAAGAACTAAACCATATGAAATCTCTATATTCTACAGAAATTGGGACAACAAAGGTGTTAGACATACTTAATATTTATCCTATATTGTTGGATGCATCAATGCATTAAAAGAAGAGTACCATATTTTCTACTTTAATTTTAAAATTGTGGGTTAACCCCTACAAAAAGATTTAGTTTTCGGATAAATGCTATACACTGAAATTTTAGCTCTTTCATGTTGACTAAAAAATACCAAATCACATTATACATTTATATTAATGTATGTTAAACTTATTTTCATGGTACATGGGTATCATTTCTGATATTTTAATGAATAGTTTAATAAACTTTATATTCCACCTAATTTTGTGGAGTAAACACTTATAAAATATGTAATTTCTGGAGAAATGGGGTCTCAAACCTCTTTAATTTTCATCACATGTCATTGCATGGTGAAATTATGCATTAAAACAAAATACCATATTTTTTAGTCTATCTTACGAAAGATCGAGTTTTTCCAATAAATGTTATATATACTAAAGTTTAGCCGTCTTAATGTTTTTAAAATACCTAATCACACTCTAATGAATATTAATACATGGTAAACATATTTTTATGGTACATGGACATCATTTCTAATTTTCCAGCAAGTAATTTTTTACATTTCATATACGACCTAATTAGTGTATTAACTTCTATAAAATCTCTATTTTTTAGAGAAATGAGAAAACCTAAGGTCTCATAACATCTTTAATCTCCATACTATGTTAGTGCATGGTGAAGCTATGCATTAAGTCAAAAATTATATATTTCCTAATTTATCTTGAAATATATGGGTGAACCCCTGCGAAAAAATTGAATTTTCCGATAAATACTATATATATTATTCAGCTTCTTTAATGTTGTTTAGAAATACCTAACCATACTCCAAATTTATATATATGTATGCTAAAACTAATTTCATGGTACATTGGTATTATTTCTAATTTTTCAATGATTAATTTATTTAAACTTCATATACCACCTAGAGAGTGGACTAATCACTATAAAAACTCTATTTTCTAGAGAAACGAGAACACCTAAAGTTTCAACTCACATAATTCTCCATAATATGTCAGTGCATGATACAGCAATTTAGTAAAACAAAAATACCACATTTCCTAATTTATCATGAAATATGTGGTTAACCCCCTTCAAAAAAATTGAGTTTTCCGATAAATGTAATATATAGGCCTCTTTAGTTTTGTTTAAAAATACCTAACCACATTTAAAATTTATATTAATGTACTAAACTTATGTTCATGGTACATGGAAATTAGTTCTAATTTTCAACCGAGGAATTTAATAAAACTTCATATACCACCAAAATCAATGAAGTAAACCTTATAAAATCTCTTTTTCTACATAAATTTGGACAGCTAAGGTACAAAACTCTTTGATATTCATCCTACATAAGCGTTAGATGCAGCTATGCATTAATAAAACTTGATATACCATGTAAATCAAAGAAATAAACTCTATAAAATCTCTATATTTTGAGAAATTGGGACAACAAAGGTGTCAGAAATCATGGATATTTATCCTATATCTGTGCTAGATGCATCTATGCATAAATATATATCATATTTTCTAATTTATCTTGAAATCTAAGGACTAACCCCTATAAAAAGATCGAGTTTTTCGATGAAGTTTAACCTCTTTCTTGTTGATTAAAAAATATCTAATCACATTATAAACTTATATTTATATATGTTAAACTTTTTTCGTCGTACACAGGCAATGTTACAAATATTTTAATGAGTAATTTAATAAAATTTCATATTCCACTTAATTCAGTGGATTGACCTATATAAAATCTTTAAGTTCTGGATAAAAGAAAGGACAAATAAGGTCCCAAATATCTTTAATTTTCATCACATGTCAGTGCATAATGAATTTGTGAATTAAAACAAAATATCATATTTTATAATTTATCTTATGAAAAGATCGAATTCTTTTCCAATAAATGCTATATATACCAAAGTTTAGCCTCATTATTTTTTTTTAAACAAATACCTAACCATACTCTGAATGTATATTAATGTACTCTAAACATATTTTCATGGTGCATGGACATCATTTCTAATTTTACAATGAGTAATTCTTTTAAACTTCATACACGATCTAATTAGTTTACTAACCCCTATAAAATATCTATTTTCTAGAGAAATAGGAAGACCTAAGGTTTCAAACCTCTTTAGTTTATATTATTTCAGTGCATGATACATATACGTATTAAAACAAAAATACCATATTTTCTAATTTATATTGAAATATGTGGGTTAACCCCTACGAAAAGATTGAATTTTCAGAAAAATACAATCTATATTAATTATCTTCTTTAGTTTTGTTTAAAAATACATAACCACACTCCAAAACTATATATGTATTCTAAACTTATTTTTATGGTACATGGACATAATTTTTTAATTTTCCAGTGAGTAATTTATTTAAACTTGTTCACACCCTAAAAGTAGACTAACCCCAATTAAAACTCTATTTTTGGGAGAAACGAGAACACCTAAGGTCTCAACCCTCTTTATTCTCCATGCTATGTTAGTGCATGATACAACAATTCAGTAAAACAAAAGTACGAAATTTCAAAAAAAAAAATTTGATATATGTGGGTTAATCCCTACGGAAAAAACTAGTTTTTCGGTAAATGCTATATATTGGAATCTTTAGTATTGTTAAAATACCTAACTAAATTCTGAATTTATATTAATGTACTAAAATTATCGTATGGTACATGAGAATCAGTTCTAATTTTCAATCGAGGAATTTAATAAACTCCATATACCATTGAAATTAATGAACTAAACCCTATAAAATCTCGCTTTCTAAAGAAATTTGGACAACTTAGGTACAAAACTCTTTGATATTCATCCTACATCAGAGTTAGATGCAACTATGCATGAATACAAAAATTTCATATTTTAAATTTATTTTGAAATATGTGGGTTAACCCCTACAAAAGATTGAGTTTTTCCGATAAATGTTATGTGTAAAAATAACTAAAATTCAAATAGACGTACTATTTCAAAGACAAATAAATTATAGAAAGACATCTTAGGTATTTTTTAAAATCTAATTTTTCTTTGCAATAGAAATATATAATCATTCACTTAGATGAGATTCATAATCTTTGACATTAATTGAGATTGCTATTATTAATAGATTATTATTTCAATATGTGGAACATTTGAAAGAATAGAATAGGACTGTAAGATAATTAATTTATATGTTGTGGAGTCAAATGAAATAGGAATATATAAGGTTAGTTCATAATATAATGTTACATGTTTATCACTACTCACTACCATGGCCTGACCACTTTGCTTTTCGTGAACCATCCCACTTCTACTCTTTTGTTTATTAAAATTCAAAACAGAGGAATGTCCTCTCCGAATGTTTCTGATAAATAATGTTAAGTTATCATCTAATAAGTCAACCGAATTATCACCGGCTCTCATCCCCCATCCACTATGTATAACAACTATATACTCTTTCATTCCACAGATTTTTTACACATATTAAAAAAATAAATTAAATACATTTCTATTTTTGTTTATTATATTCCTTCCGTTCCATAATAGAAAATGTTTTTTAAATAATATTTCAAAATATAAGTTTTTTCTATTTTTAAAACAATTTTAACTTTATTAAAGATTGATTGACTAATATACATAATTTATTATTGGTTGATTTATTTTAATTTAAATTATAAATAATAATAATTTATTCATAATTCATGTGTTTTAACCAAAACATTTTTATTATCGAACGGATGAAGTATATGTTTAACTAATATAATTTTAGATCAATAAAATTATTTATAAAATCAACTTAATTTTAAATTAATATTAAAATGAAAATAAATATAGATTGAAATAAAAAATTTTAATAATTTTTTTATGTAACAGGAAAAAAATATCAAAATAGCACTCTTTATAAAATAGAGTAATAGTTCAGGCTATCATCCAATAATTGAACCTTGTTGTATATTTACTCCGTAAAGAGATATCTGTAAGACTGTATGCT